CACTCAATGTAGAACTTAGTATAGTCGTTGGGCTTGTCCTCAACATCGCCGCTATACATAAGTTCATTCCATTTTTATTACTAATTTCTCGGGCAGATACTTTATGTTCTGTCCTCAAATTTATATAACTTTATAATTTTACTTTAATAAAATACTTAATATTTTTAACGTTGTGTAACTTGTAACTCTACCACCGTCTCCTTTGAAAAACTTGATTGTCAATCCAACGTCGCTGAACCCAAATAATAGGCGTTAGTGAGGGATCACTACACGTTTTTGGTGTCAGGTGTGGGGTCACCTGAAAGAAGTATTTTGGTATCCAACCCAGAATCAAGTACATCAGCGGATCTCGAGTTCAACCACGTCACCGATTCACGCATCAGGAATAGGAACAAAATAAAAATTATTACGATACCACYATAAATGCTATCGATCTCCATGTAGGGGACAAAGTTCTCATTAAAGAACATAACAAGAAGAACTCACTCGATTTAAATTGGCAAGGACCGTATGAAATAATTTTGGTACATGCACGATAACGAAAATATAACAATTCAAAAAGGTCGTCGCGAATATAGAATCCATATAAACAACGTTAAGCGCTATCATGAAAATGATAACGGCCGCCAATAGAGAAATATATATATTTATAGTTATTATACATACTAGACTATATGAGATTAACTTTCTTATAAAATCATTTATTTAATAACACAATTTTATTCTTCTTACTTTTGTATTCTTTTTCCGTATTTTATTTTATTTTTTTTTTGCTATTACTAATCATAGATCTACAATTWTAGAAATTGACGCAAATACGTTATAGTGGATTTCGAATTCACTAATTTGGGACGAAATAATCTCATACTTATTTCGGGAGCCTTTATGGGCCAACACCAAGTCAACCGCCTTACCAAGTTGGAAGGTCGTGCGTTGGTCTTAAACCAGGATCGACCTGTGTCAAAAGATGAATGGCAACAAATGGTTCGGCACTTAGTCGAGATATTTAAGGATAAACCGAATACTCTATTACCCGTGTTAGCACAAATATATGACTCCGACCATACCACCCGACCAAATCTAACAACCATACAAATCCAAAACTTACTAAAATACTACGAAACTATCATACTATGGGAGGGGAGTACCGATATTAAAATCTTACAACTTAGAATAAATAAACCAACCTTCTCGCTAAGGGGATGGGACGTAAATATGGACGGAGAATTTTACTTACAATTGATTAACTGCAACACGAAACAGATCATAGCATCCATGCTGCTAGGGTCTTACAACAAACGAGGGCGAGCCCTCAAATTACAGGAAGCGCACGAACTAATTTGCCAGTGTAAACATGACTCGCGCGAACCGCACAACCCACTAACCGATGTCCTTTGGACACGGTGT